CATATTGTTCATGCAAATTTGTTGTGTTGACCAATAGAAATCTGCTTGGTTTGAAAGCGACTTCTGAGCGGTGCTCAGTGCACTGCAGCTCACAAATGAATTTCACGTTCACACATTTGACGGCAAGATTGACATATCAAACAATAGTTGTAGGCGCACTTCTCGAAACTAACTCCAATTTGCCACAATTTAAATAAACAGATTTTAAGCAAACAAAATATAACATTTAAATGAGTTAAATATTCATATTAAGGGATCACATTTACCGATCCATTATGCTTTTTTTTTTGACAGTGTTACTTAGGCAGCCATCTCTGTTTTTGTATGGAAAAGAGCAGCTGGGACATTCTGCTAAACTTTTCCTTTTGTGTTCTACGGATGAAGGTAAGTCATACAGGTTGGAAATGACACAATTTAATGATTACATAATGTCTCTTGTGATCGAACTGTTCCTTTAAACCACACCATTTTTACAGAAGCTTGGTTTCAAATTCAACATATTGTCAAAACCCATTGTGTATGAATTATTATTATTATTATTATGTATTGAGTTGAAACTCTGGCTGCAGGGAGGCAGGGTGTGACCCCATGGAGCTCACCTGAAGTGGCTGCGCAGATAAGGGGATGTTTACAAAGTGCCCCCCCCCCAAACCAAACTGTCCGCTGGTCACCTGGTCCCCCACCCCCACCCACTGGAGATAAGAGACGGACTGATTAGCTTCCGTGACATCAAAACGTAATATTGGCCTGCCACCTGCTCTGCTCTCAAACACAGCTTAGACTAAAGCAAACAAAAGGGAGGCTGGAGATAAAGCCGAAGTGACAGCAGCAGCCCACTGCCTGCGCCTTCCAGGCGCACAGACTGAGATCCAGGCCGCCGTTTGAAATATTACGCTGTTTGCACAGGCCTGACTTCCTCCTCGTAACCATGCCTCTTCAGTGAAACGAGAGCATTTAATCACATTCACTGTTATGCATAAGGTTTAGAGAGCAGGATGAAGTAGACCAGCTCTGATTAAACCGCTTAAAAAGACATGTAAAAGTCTTAGCACCTTTAAAGCCGCTAATTGCTCAGTGTGGAAGTCAATAGGCCTCTGGACAATGCTGATGCCACCCTGCTGCTGTAAAGGTATAGAGTGGGACAACAAACCAGAACAGCAGCTGCTCTGCAAGCATTTCAACAGTGAACAATGAGAGCTGCTCCAGGCAGATGCCTGAAGGACCGCTGGACCCCCCGAGGACACGTAGCTCAACATTAATGGCAAACTACAGCCTTGTGATCAGGCTCTGCACCTGTGCCATACCTTAATGCACATCTGCTCAATGTTACTACTGTAAACATTCACGCATGACAAGACGAGGCTTGTCTGAGTCTTGTGTGGTATTTCAATGAACTTTCAATTTTTCATTTACTAAATAAACATTGTGGGCTGTGTCTGAAACCAGTCTTGTGCCGTTAAAGGGTTGGAAATCAAGAACAGATTCTGTTTTTTAAAAAATACTGGAATTGAATGATTTGGTTCGGTTAATGGTTCCTAAACGGTTGCATTCATCCACCAATACAAACAGGTCACTGTATTGATACTCTTGTACTAGTGATTCATGCACCGTTACCGGATTCTAAAGTTCTGATTCTAATTCAGAGAATGAGTGACTTATTCAGAATTACTCAAAACAGTGATTTGTGCTTTTTTTTTTTTACTTCCTTATGTGTCAGTGAGAGCTGGGGTAGGTTTACGAGTTGGACTGCTGTGTGAGTCGCACCATGTGTTTGTAGGAAGGAATCAGTAACGGAACTGAATGCCATGAAAATTATTTGCCTTCAGTGCTTTTGAAAAATAAAAAAGGATCTGGCTCTGAATAGAACTGGTTCTCACAAATCAGTCTCAAATTCATACGTTATCAGTTTAAATTGATCTATTACTCACTCACTCACTCAGTACTGTTGTAATATATATATATATATATATATATATATATAGACAGAGAGAGAGAAAGACATATTACTATGTATATTCACTAACGTTTAAAAGTTTGGAGTTATAATTAGTGCTGTCAAACGATTAATCGTGATTAATCGATTAATCGCATAGAAAATAAAAGTTTTTGTTTACATAATATATGTGTGTTTTCTGTGTATATTTATTATGTACATATAAATACACACACATGCAGTATATATTTTGAAAATATTTACATGTATTTACATGTCTATATTTATATTCATATAATTTATATTACATCCAAATATATTTAATATAAAAACATAACATATTTTTCTGAAATATATGCATGCATGTGTGTATTTATATATACATAATAAATAAACACAGTACACAAACATATATTATGCAAACAAAAACTTTTATTTTGTATGCAATTAATCGTGATTAATCGTTTGACAGCACTTGTTATAATATAAATAATATATAATCTCACCAAGGCTACTTATTTAACCCATGAGGCTAATATTTATTTCATCAAAAATGCAATATAAACAGTAACATTGTGAAATATTATAACATGCTAAAATTACAGTTGCCTTTTTTAATAAAATGTAATTTATTCCCAATGGCAAAGCTGAATTTTCAGCAAGCATTACTCCGGTCATCAGTCTTTACTGATTTGCTGTTCAAAATTCATGTCTTCTTATTGTCAATGTTGAAAACAGTTGTGCTGAATGCGGATTAATATTTTTATGGAAACCATGATACATTTTTGTCAGGATTCTTTGAAGAATAGAAAGTTAAAAACAACAGCATTTATTTGAATTAAAAAATCTCTTGTGATGGAGCCAATAACCTCATGGTTAGTGTGTCGATACATAGTGCAACTGTGCTCGCGGGCGACCCGAGTTCGATTCCCATCTCGAGGTCCTTTGCTGATCCCGCTCCCCTGTCACCACCCAATGATTTCCAGTCTGCTCTCTACTTTACTGTCCATTAAAGGCATAAAAGCCCATAAATATAACCTTAAAAAAATCTCTTGAAACTCTTTTCTTAAATTGTATCAATTTAATACATTCTTGGTGAATAAAAGTATTAATTTCTTTCAAACAAAAATGATACATATACATATATATTAGTGCTGTCAAACGATTAATCGCGATTAATCACATCCAAGTTTTTGTTTACATAATATATGAGTTTGTATATGTTGTATACAATGTATTTAAAATATGTTGTTTATATATTAAATATATTTATATATAATATAAAATGTTATAATACAAACATATAAATGTATATCCATGTAAATTTGTATGTATACATAATAAATAAACACAGTACACATACATATATTATGTACCCTCATGTTTTGTTCCTACACTGAAAGTCTATTCCATCAAATCTTAGAAGATCCAAAAAAGGTCACAATGACCTTTTGAAGAGATATGATCGTTATATTTGATGAACATATTTAATTTTGTATTTATTATTATTATTATTAATATTTATCTTTTATTCACATACAAACATACATACATACATGGAGCACATCAACACAGAAGCCCGTGCATGCCTTTTGGGTCTTCTAAGTTTTGGTTGCATGGTCTTTTAATCTTCTACATTTATTTATTTATTTATTTATTCTAAAGTCATACAGGTTTTGGAAAGGCATGAGGGTGAGTAAATGATGACATATTTTTCATTTTTGTGTGAACTATCCTGTTAAGTCATAGCTAATATGATCTAAATGGTCAACAACACTTGAACATTCACATAAAACCATGGTTTAATGTTGAAACCCTTATGTTGTTCTCAACCTGTATGACAGACTTTCTTCTATAGAACATAAAAGAAGTGTTCCAAAAGTGGTTTTTTTTGTCCATACAATGAAACTTAATGGCATACAATGTTAGTTTCATAAATAGGAAACAAATAAATAATAAATAATTATAATTTTCAGGTGAACCACTACATTCACTGTTCCTTACTGCTGGAATGATTTCCCAATCCTACCGGAACAGCCGAATCCATTTTCAAGAAACGGCTAAAAACACATCTCTTCCATGAGCACTTAACTTTCTTCTGCTGACATTGACTTTTATTTCTTTCTTTATTGATTTAATCTCATAACTTTCAAAACTGGAATTGGCGTTTTCATCTAGCATTTTTTATTTAAATTTTTTCCCACAAAGATGTTTCATCAACTGAACAATTGGCATGTTGTTAAACAACAGTACAATCCACTGAATGCACAGTATTTCTATCCCTCACAACCTTATTTTAATTCCAGTCAAAAGTTAAAAATGGAGCTACCCTGACTAAGGTCTATTGTTAGCACTTCTCATGACAAGGTGAAGTCAGTTTGATGAAATATCACAGGCCAGAAACATTCATAGTCAAAGGTGAGTGAAGAGTGAAGCCCAACTCACAAAAGAAGTCAGGTTTCCGTTGGTCAATGTCAAATTTCAGCCTGCCGTGGTGTTAAATTCCTAAACACGTTGATTCCTATTCTGATTTTGAAAATTTGCTGAACAACAGTAAATATGACTGCGCCTTCACTGCCTCCTTAAAGGTAGGGTAGACAATTTCGGAGAGGCTAGATTTGAAAGCATAAGGTCCCACCCTCCCTGCAAATCACTCTCCAAAGCCACACCTCCTCCAAAACACATGAACGTGCTCAGGCAAACCAGAGGCTAACCAGTGTCACAATGAGAGACGGCATTGGTGGAGGATTGAACGCAACGCTGTCAGATTACCACGTCTCCCTCACCGGTGAGAAAACCTTACAGTACAAAGCGCATAATATTACAACAATAACGCCTTCTATTCTTCCTCGGTCTGCAATAATGTAACGGAACGCCCTGATGACGAATCATGTCTGCGCAAACATACAGTAGGTGGTAGGACAGCTTATCGTAACCCTTTGTGTTGTATTCCTCATTTCTAAGGCACTTTGGACAAAAGTGTCTGCTAAACGAATAAATGTCATGTAAATGGAAACGTGAGTGCATGACAATAGGGTGGAGTCAAACTCAGGTTTGGACCTAGCAATCGAACCAACTGCAAAAACGGCCTGTCTTTTTTAGGTATGTTACAAAATAACACACATTACCACAGTTGTTTTCTAGAAGACTCCAAACCAAGCCCAGTTAAAACGGGTGAGCATGCGAGTGTACAAACAATACTTTCAGAAAGGCCGAGGCGGCGCAAATGACTCACCCTGAGCTGTTGCATTTCTCCGAAGGATTTGAGTCTGACACAAACAGCTTGGCTTAGATATGCATCTACGTCTTCCAGGGAAAGCTGTCTCGCCTAGATCCAGGAGCAAACTGTGTTTTTATTCTACATGCAAGCTGTGAAAATCACACTCATGTATACACAACAAGCATCAAGTGTCACCACACACACATCTGTACACAATGCAAGGGTATGCGAGTTGTCTGATAAGGACTACACACTATAAACAGTGTTGAAGAGACACCGCTGAAACTCTTTTGAAATGCAATGAGGCCACATCATTAATAAATAAAGGCTAACAGAGCATACATGGTGCTCGATTGGACCTGAACAAAGCCATTTGTTTACATTCAAGCGAAAACCTCAGTGGTCCGTGGCATCAACGATGCAAAGTTAACACACCTGAATGGCGATGTAGGTTACAAGACAAATCACAGCATTCAAAGCGCTTCAGCTCTTCAGTAAACTCATACAGGTCAAAGATATCCAGGAGTGTTGATGTTTGGACTGCTTTCACCTCTGGGTCCGTCCTAAACCACAGAGCCATCAAATCAGGGGGCCCTTGATCAACTTGTCTGAGAGTAAATTAAAGGGATAGTTCACCCAAAAATGAAAATTTGCTGTTGATTTACCCACCCTCAGGCCATCCAAGATGTAGGAGACTTTTTCTTCAGTAGAACAGTAAAGAAGATTTTTAGCTGAAACGTGGTCCTTTGTGATTCATAAAATGCAAGTCAGTGGCTACCAGTTTTTTTATCAAGGAACATGAAATGAATACCCATGGCTCCTGATGGTTTATTGAGGTGCTGTGAAGCGAAACGATCAGTCTGTGCAAGAAACTGGACATCATTTACAACATTATTACCTGTAATCCAGAGCCTTTTGCCACCTACATTATCGAGCAGGAAACACTCTGCCCGTGTGTGCTTTTCTAGCACTGCCTGAAACATGGAAACACTTAGTAAGAGAACAAACAAAGCCATGTTACTTCTGGTGGGCCTGTTGCTTTTGTTAAATACAGTAGTAGGGTCCAAAAGTTAAAGTGTTTCTTTTTCTGCATTTTCTATCATTTTATTACTCATTTTTAGAAGAGAAATTATATTACCAGCATGAAAAGTTCTAGATGTTATGTATTTAATTCATACCATGCGATTCAAAATGATAAAACTTTGTTTAATTGCATGTTTAAATTAGATTTTAAATCCCATATTTTCAATGTGTCCGCAAACATTTGGACCCCACTGTGCATTTTTTCTTTTTACCTGTAATATGTCACCCGGTTTGCCCATCAAACACACAGACTCAGGAACGAGACGGCTGCTTTCTAACCAAGGGGATGTTTGGCCTGGAAGTATATATACAGTATATATATATATATGTGCATGCCTTTTTCTAAAGCTTCTTTGTCTTCTTTAACTAACGACAGTGAGGAAAGACCCCAGTGCTGGGATGATGAATGTTAATGAAGTCTGCAACAGCGTAGACCTTGTTTCCCTGAACTTGCCTGTGTTTCTTTCGAAATGACGCCAAAGCACTGTTACAACTTCCAACAGATCTCATCTACCTTTATTTTACGAAAAAAAATAATAAATGCTCACAAACACTAGTATATGGAAATATTACTTACACGGAAAAGCAATTTTCATACCGCATTGACAGATATTTGTGCTTGTCTTAAGCATAAACTCACTAAATTTTGTTCAGTTTCTCAGATAACAAGGCTTCATATGGTCATTTTTTATCTAAAGTAAATGCATTTTGAAATTAAACGGCGGTTCTTTCAGCAAGTAGCGCTCCAAGATGTTTTCTTTGAGTTGTAAATGTATTTTGATTTAAGGATGTTTAGATAACAAAAATACTGATTAAGGTGCTAATTTTTTTTTGCAGTGCATGCAACATTTAATGCCCTGATTTTGAATTGAAGATTTTCTGCTCCGATTTAAAGCCTTTTGAAGGCATTATATTGTGGAATGGCGAATTAAGACTTTTAAAGACATTTTTAAGACCTGCAGAATCACTGTTTACTTCTCACTGTCATTTGTGAATGAATGCATGCATTTGACTTTTTTACTTATTTATGATATGCTTCATTTATCACTTTAACACTTTTTGGTCAGACAAAATTTAGACTATACAATGTCAAACCATTCTTTCATTTAAGGTAATGCTAGATTTGCCAATATATATATATATATATATATAAAGACATTTAAATGTTCCTGCTATATCCATGGTTTAACATTCATTAAAATGCAAGCAGTTTAAGCTGTAAATAATTATCAAATAATTATCTTTTATATGCATCTTTTTCTCACTTATTACAATAGTTTTGACTCCTGAAAAACAGCAGGTAATATGAATGAACATTTTCGAGAGACCCTTTACTGTGTCTACCTGTGTGTGACTGCTGGGAATTTCACCACTATTGCTGCGACGCTGTCAGTAAGGATATGGAGCACTAGTGTCCTTTATCACTTAAAGGGGTCCTATTATGCTTTTCACTTTTTTATTTTAGTCAGTGTGTAGTATGTATGTTTGGGCATAAAAAAGATCTAGAAAGTTACAAATCTCAAAGTCTACTCCAAAGGGAGATATTTCGTTTTTAAAAAAATCCCTTTTCAATAACTACAACGAATGGCTCGTTTGGACTACAGCGTTTGGTTTCCGGGCTTTGTTATATCACAAAGTGGCCCATTAGAATAGCATTAAAAATAATTCCCACCTACAGAAATTCGAATGGTTGGGGGGTGGGGAGGGGCGAGGTTGTGGTTAGAACGCTTGCATCAGACGAGACGACGAAGACGAAGTGCTGCTGCAGAGTTAGTGCATCAGAGAAAACCAAGAAGAAGAGCTGCTGTGCTGTAACGTCAAATTTTCGGCATGTCTAGAACAATTCTTACAAGTATAACACGATGTAGCTGGGCTCCGCGGACAGACGCCGAACGGCGCCGCCGGTGTGCCTACACTCATAGAAAATATAATATTTTAATTTTAAAGAAGTGGCGCGACGCTGCCTGTTTTTTTTTGTTTGGGCTTCCGAAAGCAGATGATGTCAGGAAACAGTGGTTGCAATTTATTTTTTTACTCTGTTCCTGAGCATTATAACCCCAATTTGCTATTGTGTGCTGCGCATTTTACTAAAGACAGCTTCCACAACACGTGGGAGTACAGTGCCGGATTCGCCCAAAAGTTTTTGTTGAAAGACGGAGCAAGGGGCGTGGCAGTAATGAAACACCGTCTAAGCTGTTCGCCAATCACAACGCACTGGGACAGCAAACCAATCACAACACATTTTGTTTTTTGGAAGGCGGACCTTCATCAA